TGATTAGTACTAAAAATGAACACATTCTGGTTACTAAGCTCTAGAAAATAGTCATACTTCAGGGAAGCTTGAACATTCATTGCAAATGTCACAATGGCTTTTGAATGATCAAATAAATGATTTGCATCTGCACTTAGCTAACCGTGGGTTTAGCTATCCGGTTGCTACCTTTTCTTCATCTCCACCACCTGCTTTCTTCAGACCCTTTTTGCCCATCCTGACACTTTGAGCTGCCTCCTCATTGCTCCTAACCACCCCCCACACACACACACTTCACCCCACTGTCTGATTTGTCCGTCATTTTTAGCCACACTGGACAAATCATTTGTCCACTAAGATATCCATACTGTTAATGGGTCCCAATTATCTATTTTAGGGCCAAATCTTTAGCAGCAAAACTCTTTTTTTTGTGGAATCATATGCTACAGATACAAAATATAACATGGATTAGAAAATGATATTTTAACAGCATAAATGTACAACATTTATTCACTGCAAAGACATTCAATGGGAACCATATTGTGTTGGACAATAACAGGAAAATCCCAAAACATTTTCATAAGTTATTGCTATATGTGCATTAACATGCAAAAACCTGAGTATTTGGAAAGGCCAGTACAGTTTTTTTTGTTGACCCTTAATGACATGGAAAATAACCAAAGAGGCACTTGCAAAAATTTCAAATGGACTGAGTGATAGCAGAAGGAGCTCTGGTCCAAGTTCTGCATCAAGCCATGCTAGACCAATAGCACAGATCAACACCATTGGTCTGCTGTGCTGGAGCACTTGTTTAAGTGAAATGTTAAACATGGTATCTGCTGTAGTTTTTAAATAGTGTGTGTGTGTGTGTGTGTGTGTGTGTGTGTGTGTGTGTGTGTGTGTGTGTGTTTAACAAAAAATAAATCCAGCTTTATGCACTCCCTCTGGCATCTCATATATCCATGGATCTGGTTTGATTTGATCATTCAAGACCTTCCCAACTCCACTCCATTCTTAGTGTGAAGATGGTAACACAGTGGTTTTAAGGAAGTCAACTCTGAAATTAGCCTTCCAGAGTTAAGGTCCAACTTGATAATTTCCTGCATGTGAGACCTTGGGCAATCGTGAGACCTCTGTGTCTCAGTTTCCTCAACTGTTTCATTGGAGATAAAGACAGAATGGTGCAGGTCAAGCATACCGAACAATGCACATAGACAATGCTACTATTTCATCTCCTTCTATGAAAACACAATCTCTACTTCAGTCAAATCCTCTATTCATAGTTCCCTGAGCTGCCGGCACACTGTGATCTCTGGTTTTCTTCACGAAGTTTCCATTGCCTGGCATGCTTAGGGATAACATAATCCCTCCTTTCCTTTGCAATGGCTGCAGTCCTTCTACCCACTATTTAAGACGTACCTTCATTGAAGGCTTCTGTGATGGCACGGCAGAACCCATAATAATCTCCCCTCCTCCAGTTCTGCAGCTCATATACATTCCTGAAATCCCTTAAGTTTCCCCATACAAGCACTCCTCTTGTTTGTAATCATTTATCTAACATCAGCATTCCTCCTTTCCATAAAGTAAGGCCATGTTTCTACTGTTTAGTGCTCTCTCTCTAGCACAGAGCACAAGGTCAGGTACAGAACAGACATCCATAGATGATGGATGAATAGATGGATGAGTGGATGGATGGATAGAAAGATAGATAGATAGATAGATGATAGATAGAAAGATAGATAGATAGATAGATGATAGATAGATAGATAAGTAGATAGATAGATAGATACACAGACAGATACTGGTCTATTGAACAGGTCGCTCATTTGGCATGTACCCTACTCTTGCTGTTCTTTTCACATGAACACAGTAGTGGCCCAAGATGATTTTTGAACAATTAATCATTTCATTGTTTAGTAAAGGAAAGCCTAGGAAAAGAACAGAAGTTTAAGTGTGTGAAAGCGAAGATAAGATAAAAGAAAGACTGGATTCTAATTCCATGGTAAAGTACCACTAAAAAGTGAATCAGTGGCCACCAGAATTTGTAGGCCTGAGGGAAATGAAATGTGTTCAGTAAATAAAAGTCACATCATGTGACTCAGGGAAATTGAATTAAGTAAATAAATATGTGTCAATTACACAGAAACACCCAAGATCTTTTTTAGGGTCTGTGAACCTCCTCCCGAGGTCTCTGGCATTCATTGACTTGTTGACAAGATGGCCGGAGGTAGACCCAGGGATTTGGGGTAAACACCACACCTCAGCCCTCCATCCATCAGAAAGCTTCACTGCGTTTAGGGAAGGGTCTGCCTAGGAAGTCCAGCTGAGTTCATTCTTGCTCTTAGGTCCCAGAAGCATTTGCATGTGCCTTTGAATTCACTGGCCAAACCCAGGCCTGCTGGGTCAGGGAAAGATTATAAGCAAATTTTGTGTCTTTGTTCATTTTAATCTCAACTCATTGTTGTGGACCCAAAATTATTCCACATGGGGGCAATCCTCTTTTCTACCTCCCTAACCATTTGGTAGAGTGTCAATTACTCTGAGAGAAAAGACAGATCCTGGGGGATGCGTAAATAATGCTTGGGCTCTGATTTATGGCTTTGTTTTCAGACAAATGAAGGTGAAGCTGGGGCCTCTGACCCTGGCCTGGTCTGGCTTCTTCCTCGAAGTCTGGAGTAATGAGAAAGGACATGAAGGATCAGTTGCTGGGTTTAGCTGGATAAGGAGGAAGTAACATGCATAGTTTCCTTTCCCTACTTAAATGGGAAAGTGGCAAGATTTCCTGGGGTGACCCTGGCTACATAATCGAGCAAGCTTTATGAAATGATTTGTTACATGGAGCATGTAAAGTCTCCCAGCCCGACTTCTAGAACACACTGTTTGAAAGGCAGGAAACCAGTTCGAATTCGAATCCCTACAGAGCTCTGCCTGGCAGATTTGCAGACAGCGGTGCCCATGAGACATCTCAAACTTTACGACAACATATTTAAGCATTTATGAGACTTGAACTGTGTTCTATTAAAATGAGGTGGGGGGAGGCAAGGGAAAAAAATCCAGAGACTTCCAGCAAGGGTAATTAGCCCCAAATGTTTCATAAAGGATTTGATAGCATTCTGGTTTTAAGTTCCTTTCCCAAGTCTGTTGAGGAGAAAGAAAAGAAAGGAACCTATTAAAAAATTCACTATTACTTTTTAAAAGATCACATGACCAAACCAAGCATCTGGACCCGTGTTTAGAAGGAGGCTAACCATACAGAACTTTTTCTAAGGTAACAGATTAAAATTTTACTGGAGAGAAAATATTTAAGACACCGGCTTGGGCTGGTTTCATCATACCTACTAAAGAAATTCCTTTCTTTTCTCCCTGCTGGTCACTGAGCTCCTCCTTCCCTCTTGATTCTAGGTTTGGCCTGGCTTGGTTGGCTTGGTAACTTTCCACCCTCCCTCCAGACTCAGGTCTATTTCCCTGTTGCTCCCATGGAACTGTTGCTGGTAGAGAGTCAAGGGGTGGCCTCTGAGAAGACTGAGATGCCCAAGCCAAGCCAGTGCTAATCTCTGGCCAAGTGATATCACATAAACATGGCTCAACCTGATAATGCTGACCTCTCCATGTTGAGGGCCACACCACAGGGTTCTCATCAGACTGAGATGAGTTCTCATCAGGGTTCTCAAAGACTCAGATACGGATTCAGATACTCCCTACTCCTTATTGGCAGGACAAGAGATCACTCTCCATTTGTTGCTGCGTACATGGGCAGAGAAGGCACTTCATCAGAATGCTTTTCTTAAGCTGCCTGGTTTTACAAAAGGGGCTTCCAGAACAATTATTCAGCAACTAGCAACTGAGGCAGCTGAATCTGCAGAAAGACCTACAATTATGTGGACAGGAGGATTTTTCCATCTAATGCCAGGGTCACTTTGAATCTTATACAGACCTGTAACACTGTGCTAAAAATTCTGTGGTTCTGTATCATAAATGATCCCTCTGATATACATGGACAGCTCTGCTGGCGTTCATATTCACCTGTCTGAAGAGAGGTCCTAGAAAGAATTTCTCTTGATTTGTCCAGCTCTCTTTCTGTTTTCTCAAGGTGGAAGAGACATTGTAAGTAAGTACTCTTAGAGATAACTCATGTCATTCATGTTCTCCCTTACACTGTCACCTTGATGGTACCTTTCTTCCCACATGAGCAGAGCC